TCACTTCAACCCCGAGATCTGAGCGATCTGAGCCTCTACTTTAGTCAATCCTCTTTGGAATAGAAGTTGATGAAATCACGTAAACATTGAAAACTGTCAGTTGCAATGTGAACTGAGAGTATTGATAATAAGGGAAGGCGCAAAAATTCAAGTAATGCAGCACATTAAGAACACAAATCGTGCTGTTTTTTTTATTAATTCATTATAAAATGTAGAATATATTCCGTTCAAAAGAGATTATGATTTTGACTTATGATGCATTATTTACTTTTTGGGTGTGGATATTATTGATTGTCATGTTTTGTAAGGAGCAATTTGATAGCATGGATACATTATTATTAATATTATCAGCAGGTGGAGTATTATCATNAATATTATTCATTGTCATATTTTGTAAGGAGCAATTTGATAGCATGGATACGTTATTATTAATATTATCAGTAGGTGGAGTATTACCATCAGTTTCAGTTAATATTCTCTTCAGGGGCACTTGATCGGTAGAGTTTACAGTACTCGAGGTACTGGGGATACATTGACTGGCGATGCGGGGGAATACTTGACTCGTATTTCCCAGAGACTCAACCACATAACGTTGAGCGATTGTAGCCGATTTCCAGGGGGAAAATCGGGTCCGAAAATCGCGATCTAACCGAGCGAAGCGAGCCAAACCAAAACCAAAGGTTAGCCAGTGAAAGAAAAACGTCATAAAAACAAAAAAAGTAATTTTGAAGAAACTCACTCAGATAAATTGGAGAAAAACCACGTCAAGAAAAGCGCTCTAATATTGTGTCATCAGAATGTAGGGTTTTCAATTTCTGAAGATAGTCTTGATGTTAATTATGACACGTGTCAAAAAATTGAGTGCGAATGAAGTAAATATTAATTCCCCGAGACATAAATCAAGAAATTTCTAGAATTGCGATATAATCTTGGAATAGGTATTGCGAATTTCCCTAACAAGTAAGATTTGTCTTCATTGATTCACTGAATCTTAAAAATATTTTAAATATTTTTATTTATGATTTAATTCAATGTTTTATTTGAACACGTAGAATTTTTTGAATTTGCTGACGGGGTTACCAATTCCTGAACGATTGAGACTCTAAAGGTAGTAACGATTCCCACATTACCGGCCATCAATCAAACAGTTTGTCCAATAACGCGTGGGTTTGTTTTCGGCAGTTATTGCATTGAGGAGATTAGCATTGTCGTTTTATTATTTTGATAGGATTTACGAGTCATTGAAGCGCAATGTTATACAATTCTTCATTCACCTTTCGTCGTCATTCATTAAATGCAATGAACCCGTATAACTACAGTCCATTTTGATACTACATTTTTTTCTATGGCCGGGGAACTTTTCCCCTCAGAGTGCTTTGTTACAGCACTGCATTTGGCTTTCGGATACGAGGATATCAGCCATTTTTATCAGCAGTCGCAGGCCAGCCTGTCGTATGCTGTCGTAGACTTCCTCTCAACGTCTAACATAATATATGTACAGCCTCTAATTTATCAGAATAGAGCAAATGGAATTGACAGGAAAATATTGCGAGCTTATTAATTACATGAATGATGTGCATCCGTGTTGATTATGTAGATTCGATGCGCTTTCTCCGTCAATCTCTGAACTTACTAGTCTCAGAGATGATACAAAATCATGCGTATGAATTTTATTGAATCATTTCCACCTACCTAATTAATTACCTAGTAATTCTTCAAACAAGAAACAAAACAAAATTCATCGAAACTAATGCAGGTCAAATATGCTCAAATATGGTCTACAATAACAATACACATGTTCATATAGTTCAATCTCACGGGCGATACTTCATTCAGATAACAATGAATACATATTTAAGCTTTAAAAAAATACATATGTCCACAATATATTCCATAGAATCTTCCACACAGGGCCGCCAGGAGATATATACGTGGGCGGTGCATAGCTCATGATATACCATACACCTTCCGCCGGCCCTGTTTACATATTGCATTATATTTTTTTCTCTTCAGAGAAAAATCGAATTTCAAATTCGATCAATATCTGTAATTTCTGCAGTTCGCAAGGGTAATATGATCATACTTCGCGAGGATAATACCTCGTAACGGGTGAATTTTACGAGGGTCAATCTAATTATTTATTGATCTTTATTGAATTCCTCACGTTAGCATTTCATATCGTGATATTAATAATTCTTGTTTCTACGGATTAAGTTGAGACTTCTCCCAAGATTTAATGGAACATTCTTAACTCATAGAACTATTTCAATTGTTTCTGGTAGCTTTTTTGGGGTCTTCAAAATAAAATTGTTCTTCTCAGGCTCGGCTGGAGCTTTTTAAGACTCCAAATAATAATGCAAAGTCCTGAATAATTGGAAAATTCAATGGAGCTCAATAGATAGTAATAGATAGATTAGATTGACTTCCTCATAATAGAAATGACGCCCGTAATATTTGATCCTCGCGAGATATAACCCTTGCAAGGTATGGCGCTGAATTCCTAGTGTAAATAGCCCCAATTTCAGTAATCCTGGAATTGTGGAGGGGAGGGTTGGAAGGAGATGTCATAGAGAGGGCGGCGTTACTGATTCGAAAGAGGCAGCCCATTTTTTTCTCAATTCACCCGCAAATTGAAAATTCATCAATTACGTGTAAATCGAAAAAGAAAAAAACTTTATCCCTGTATATGGCATACCATACCATTTTTTTTAGCCATGTATGGAATACCATACATCCAAATTCCAATGTATGGTGGAAACCATACACACCATACACACCTTCCGCCGGCCCGGATCTCTCACTAGTCTCAAACGTGGAAAACGTCAAACATCACAAAAGTCATAAACTCGCGAGGACCAAACGTCACGAGAGTTATACGTCACAGGGTATACCTTCCAACGGTCATTCCTCGCGAACATCAAATATCGCAAGGGTCATTGAAAAACTGTGCAGTTTACCCTATGTAAACCATTTTACAAATCTCATAGGGAAATGGCTCGGAGAAGGGTCCGTTTGAATATTATGAATTACCTATAGTATTCACAGGGGTTATATGGTTGTAATCTTCAGAACGAAATGCTTGAAGAAATGTGCAATGCGGTCAAGAGGGTCATATAGGTAAGATTTCGGTTCGGAGACCGAAAGAGTTTAGAAGGGGCCTTATGGTTATGATAGTATGGACCAAATGACATGTGCATAAGAAGGTCATTCGTGTCAGACCGGATCGTATGAGTGAGTTCGAATAACAAATTTTGGGTTCACATTCATCGATGATTTCTAATTATTTCTGAAATCATCTGATTTCTTTATAATTTTCACAGCTCTCTAATGCTTTCCAGAAGTCATTAGAAATCACTACTAATTCTGGGTTTTTTTTACTTGATTTTCAATCGAGTGGTCCAGTAATTTACCAAGTAACCAGCCCCTCGATTCGTAGTTACTGCGAAAGTAACATAATCATGAGTGAGAATTCGGATTCTTTATCGAGTATATTCCATTAAAAGAAAATCGAATGTTCAAACTTAATACTTTATAATGAAAAATTTTCTATCTCCTGATAAATTTGGTAGAAGTGACAAGAAATAATAACCAGTCAACTCCAATATTAATGCATCTGCATGATCAATTCAGCGACAGGTCGCCGACTTCTCAATCTCCTAAAAACACTCATCAATGAGATGGGTCAAGAATTAACAGAATGGGTTCTGAAGACTTCACCACTCTTCTATTAAGTTGGATTATTAAAAACGGGGCACACAAAAAACGAAAGAATTAGTACTTCTTCGTAGCATACAATTGACAAACAGTGCGATTTAAAGTTCAGAACTGGATCGTTTCTATTCATCTTTCTTTTTTTCCCCAGTGAGTTTTTCCGTCGCAATGTCCTTCTCGTTCTTCTCCTGTTTCAAGTTGAGATGTGCCTTAGAATTGCACTTTCCATCGTCAATGTCGCTGAAAGTTTCATCATCCTTTTTTTCGTTCGTCTCTTTGTCCTCTTTGTCCTCTTTCTCATCTTCTTCAAGAAGATAATCCCAATCATATTGGTCTCCGCCGTCCCTGACTCTTCGCAGTTCCTTTTTTAGCATTTCTAAACACTCTCTACGCTCTTTCCATTTTGCCTCATCGATCACGGGCACTTCTACTCGTTCTTCACCATTTTCATCCACTTTTACAACACTCTCGCCAGACTCTGCAGCTTCTCTCTCTTTTGCTTCACACTCTTCGATGTATTTTTCGTAACTGTCGACCTGTTGACATTATTTCTGGATTAATATTAATGATAATGGGAAGAAATTTCTCATTTACATGCTAAACACTACTTCAATTAAAAAACAAGCATTTATATTCTTCAATCCTAGATAAGTCATTATACAGGGTTTCTCGCTACTGATAAGCCATACTACAAGCGGCAGGAGGGAGATATTTGAAGAAGAAAAATCGACGCTACGTTAATGAGTAATTGATCAAAAAACACAACCAGTCGAAAATCGTCCGCCCGTCGAAAAATCATATCTTTTTTCTTCTATTTGAGATGACGAAATGAAGAATCTTTTATTAATTTATCTCTATGGCGGAGTGAGGCAGACGAATTTGATCGCACCATTGGACCCATTTGGTTCTCACACACGATGTGACCATAAACATACGAATTCACGACATAATAAATTCATATCTCACCTTCTCATTTGATTCTGGGAGATGAAATTGATCGAAATCCATTGCACATTCAATGCTTTCAGCCCTCCGGCATGAATTGGAAGGGGAATAAGATTGCTCGATCGGAGAAAAACGGTTTTTTGGTTGTATGTACTTTTTTAATTGAGGACTCATTAGTATTATTATCAGGCTAAAAATTCATCAGACTTATTGTCTGAAAATAGCCTCTCTCCCACCGAGAATCTCGCGAAATGTTGATTATTTTCTGACTCTAACATTGCCAATATATATCAACAGTTAATCGCCTCCAGACAATGGAATGAACTTGGAGATTTGGGAAGAAAGAAAGTGTTTGTTTTTTCCAATAAAGAAGAATGATTGTTCAATGAAGGCACTCTTTTCACGAAGAATTTATAATTTCATTTTTCTATGCCCAACTGAAACTTCGATTCTCTCTGGTATTCTCTCCACCGCTTTTTGTTCATCTTAAATTATTCTTCCCTTACACTATTTTTAGATATTTCCTAGTGGGGAAAATTTCGAATGCAACTCCACCCCAAAAAGCTATTCTTTCATCTTTGATACGAATGTCTATTAATATTCAGAAGTTCGTGAAGCATCGATTCCATCAGAAAAACGAGGTCACCGGCTGTTTGAACAATATTTATTTTTTATTCATAAAGAGATGTCATTGTTAACCCTTAAGTGGTCGCATCGTGAGGGGATGTGCGCTGAACCATACGCAACCTAAAGGGTGCCATTGTAGAGCGAGTTAGATGCTAGGAAAGCACGACCACTTAGGGGGTAACAGAATACAGGGAAGTTTAATTAAACTGTAAGGTTAATATAATTTTGTTTTTTTTCCCATTAGCTAGAAAAATTTCATTCATAGAACAATCTTCAAAAAGAATCATAGAACAATGGAAAAAATCCACGAGATCTGAACGTGGAAAGTACATAATTGAAATTTGGATACCAAAGACGAATAATCGAAATTCGATAATCTAAATGTCTGGAGTAGAAATTTCATTCAAACAATCAAAAACTTGTGACATTGGTGTTACATCTCCTGCATCCGAATTTCGAAATTGAATGGAAATTTTTATCACTTGGAAATTAACATGGCGCTGTTTCATGCTGATCACACTTTAAGAAATTGCTATTTTCCAGTATTGACGTCTGAGTTTTCTTAGAAATTCCCGCACGGAAAAATTATAAAGGTTATTTATATATGTCATAAATAAAATTAATTTCGAGGAGAAACCCCAATTAAGTTGAAGAGTTTTTCTCTACTCTAGATATTCAGTACGCTTATAGCGGTTGATGGGGTGTGCCAAAAAGTTGAAGAAAATAGTCACACTACACGGAGAAAATTATTTGGTGAATTTCACGAACTAATTGGTGAAATTCACCAACTAATTGTTGAAGAACTACTTGCCGAATTTCAACAACTAGTTGGTGAAATTTAACAATCAATTGATTAAAATTCAGAAAAGATTTTTCAATTTTATTCAATCAATTTTGACTATCAAACTAGATGGTGAGGGCATATACACATTTGGAAACATAATGCCGCAATCATTTATATCTTGACAATCCAGCAATATCTTCCGTAGAAGATATTTTCGCAGTAATCTACAATCCGTTGTTAAATTTAATCCATCAAATAAATCGACCAACGTTTATTGCAAATTTAATACATGGTTGTCGAATGAAATTCAAAAATATTTTTTTTCAAGTTTAATTAAATAGTTGGTGAAATTCGCCAAATAATTTTCTCCGGGTAGAGGCAGATTGGGTTTGAAATTATAGATTTTAACGGGTTTTCACTCCAAGACACAACCTTGAACCATCATTTTCCTTGAATCCAGAGGTAATAGATCTTAAAATTTTTAGAGCACCCTCGTGTATGAAACTGAGTTCATCTTACGTGAAAAAAATATGCCTAAAAATTTTCGTTTTCTTCGAAGTATTCATTGTAATAATCACGATGGGAATCTTCACAATCATGAATAACGTTAAACCAGAAATATTTTACCGAGATTAGTTCATCCACTCAACTTCATATAGAATGGTGTTCTAAATATTTTAAAAGAATGCGCCCGTATACGATCAAAATCCGGAATCCCAAATTTGTGGTTTGAAACCCAATCTGCTCGTGGTGTTGTCATCGTTTCTGCTATTTTGTATACTCCACCATGTCCCATAAGTAGAACAAGCACATAAGCTAATCACAGGGCTTCTTGCTTAAATGCAAGCTTGCATAAATAACAACTAATAAATAGAAAATTCTGCGATAATCAAGTCGAAAACATTGATTTTCCTATGATTTGAATGAGGCTCACCTTATCTTGCAACATTTGTTGGATATCATTCTGTTTTTTCAAATGTTTCGGTAACGAGAAACAGGCTTGTAGTAACCGTAGGAAAACCCAAACAGCTCCCGCCAAAGCCACATAGGTGACGGCGGTGAATACCATGTTTACAAAATCGACAGAAACCCGCTGATACTTCATCGTTTGAATTTTTGATGCACCTAGAGAACAGAGGTCACATTCCATTGATTGTTCTAATTCATAGAATATTATAGCAAACGGCATTATTAATTCTCAATATATATGATTCTCTCTATCTCTACCCAGAAAACAATGATCCAATTCTGTAAATTATCGGTAAATTCATAGTGGTGGCATAACATTTTAAATAGCATCAGCAGAAATTGTTTTCTCGGTGCTAGTGAAATATAATACATATATCCACGAAAGTCTAATACCATTTTGTGACACGCGGATAGATTAAATTCACAACTTTCTAGATTTTTCCCCGTATTACTATTTCTAAGTTGATTATCTGAGTTGAGGTGCGAACACATAAAATAATGAATAAATGTACTGCAATTGGATTAAAAAGAATAGATCATTAATCCAAAACTTCGGAGCTGCTTGTGTAGCAAATAGTGACACAAAGTTGAGGTCATCCTTCTTATGATTATTAGGCATGTCTGTAATATATATCTAGCAACAACAATCCATACCGATGGTGGAAAATATTGTAAAAGCGAAAATTCCGCAGCACCAGGGCTCTATTCTTTTTTACCCGACAGTAGTGAACACAGGAAATAGAATATCAAATTGAATGAATAACATTTACTCACCGAAAAGAGCATGAAACGATGAAAAAATCCATCGTAATTATCGAACGATAATGAAAACAATAATGTAAAAAATGTCAATTCGTTACTAAATACGTAATAAATAATAACAAAAAATCCAAAATTAAGAGGAAAAGAACTTATTTAGCATAATCAACAGTCTTGATATTACTCATAAACACAAGTTTTAAATGCGTATTTATTCACGACAAAAGTTCAAGCATTCACAGATAAGAAATTCAATTAAGAAAATAAAAAATTTCGAGGGATCCACTTACCTCAGTTTACAGTGTATGAACCTCTGATCATTTCTAAATGTACTGATGAATTTGGAAAAAATTCAAAAACAAAACACCAAATACCAAGAATACAATTTTAAAGCTCCATTCAAATTTAACCGATGAGGCGATGTTTTAATCCGAACGTTTGAACGTAAAGTGGAGGAAGACCACGACATCAGGTGTAACGCACGAGCACCACTGACCCCTATCCTCTGGAATCGATATATGGATCTTATTTTCCACGTATGATTGTAATGTGGCCTCACTATCCCCTAGCAATCAGTCACCTCCGGTTTCGTTCTCCATTGACATTAGGACAAAAATTATATTTCGACTATTGTGCTTAATAGTAAGAAAGTCTACTACATATGCTAGTCTTGTATTTTTTTTTGCCATTTCATCCGTAATACAAGGTTTTAAGGATGCGCTCACATCTAATGACAAAAAATTGTTCAAGGCAACACGACTTACTATTCTTAACAAAATATCTGCGAAAAAATCTCCATGACAAATTTATCCTACCACAATTTTCCTATAATAATATATCTTTCAGAAGGATAATATATCTTTCAGAAGAAGACCATGTTTGCAGGCCAACTTGAACTAGTTTGAGGCAAACTTGAACTACACTGTTTAAAAGAAAAACGAAACTTCATGGGCAATTTAGCTGTAATTTTGGCATTTTTTATTTTTAATGAATTTTCAGAAATGCATTATTATTATTAAAATCGATTCAGGGGACAAAAGCTTATGGAATTTCAAGTTTCAAGTAGCATGTAAACAAATTCAAAAAACGGAGAAGGCAGTAACAAAAAAAAAACTAAAAAATTGATGTCACTGTAAAAAGTAGTGAGCCCTATAATAAATTTGGAAAAATAATGTCAAGAAGCTCCTCAGATGAAAAAGCCCCTCATAACAGAGTCTAAAAATAATAATTCTTCTCAAATCAAGTCCACAACCAATAATAATGTTAATTGTTTAGATAGTTTGATTACACGTTATTAATCAATCACATTGAAGCGTTGGAAATATTTTTCTCAAGTAGAAACCCACATTGAATCGCAATAATATTGATATAAAATTGAATGAACAACACTTTTACTAGGTTCTCCAAGTTTTTAATTTGAAATGAAAACATTTGATACATATCTTCAATACAAGGGAAATAGGAAATTGTTGAATCAAGGCAGACAAAAGGGTAGAGGATGATGAGAAAAAAATCATAGTAAAAAGGAATGATTGAATTTTACGTCGCAGATCTCACGTAAAACAATAGATAGGGCGTCGCTGAGTTGCGTGGATTTGGGGCTAATTTATCCTGTAATTCGTGTTCGTGAATTACTCTTACAGCCTCGTCATCGCATTCGAGCCAAGTACCAAACTGTTTTCCACGTCGTATGCCACAACATTCCATACTTCGACATCCCATTCGATGTTCTTTACTCTCACTGATGTTTGGTTTACTTCTGAAGAGCTTCAGAATTCCAGTCGACGATGAATTATTTGTATTGCTGGAACTACTGCTCTGTGAAACATTTTGTCGACACTCGTTATATGTCGAGTCTTCAGGGACTTTAGTGTAAGCAATATAATGTCCAGCCGTCATTGTTGCACCTTGATGCATTATCACCGAGTAAAGCTTGTATACATGACGTGATTCTCCTTGTCTGTTCGATGGTCCAACTTGCTGCTCATTACTGCATTGCTCACAAAAGCATTGAAGGGTCAGAGGAGTTGGCATGTAGTTATTTATCTTTTCCATCGATCTGTAATAATTTGAAATCATTTTTCTTTGTTATTCTCGGTAGAGAAATCATAGAATTAGTTATTCGAAATACGTGAATATAGTTGTTTTCACATTACACAGTAATTTTCATCGATTGACAAATTGATGGAAGAAAAGATCCAGCAGTAAAATATGGGAAAACGAATCGAGGAAAATACAACCTTTTGCTATACAACTATATGAAAATGTAGTAAAACGTCTTTCTATAGTTCAGAAAATTTTCTCCAAAAGAGGCCTCTTGATGACTCCTCACATCAATTAATGATAGAATGAAGAAAATGTTATTTATAATTTAAATGTTGAGTATAATAACATTTAAATTATAAATAAGTTACCCAGCAGCAGTAGAAAATCTTTTTAATTGTAGAACAAGTAGCCTCGGCAATGAGGGAAAACTAACAGCCCTTTGAGCTTCATTGTATCTCAAACAGCTGGCGCACCAATACTTGTCCCTTCCCGACAGAAATTCGCTGGTTACAACCAAATGTCTGTACACTTCTGAGCTGTCTATCGATTTTCCATTTTCGTCTGCAATAACACGCATTGAATCGATTGATCATCGAGATTGAGAAAAAAATTGAGACAAATGAAATTCAAATAATACATTTCCAAAAATTACCTTTCTCATTTGATCTTCCAGTGTCAATGGGCACACAAATATCGCAGAAAGTCTCCTTTCGTTCAGTGACATGTTCACACTCGAGGCAAGTTGTACGTAGCAAACTTACACCCTCAAAATCCTCAGAGATAAAACATTGTTTACTCTCAGGTGGATAATAGGCTTCACCATTGCTAGGCATAAAGTCAGCGTGGCCATTCTCAAAGGGTCTTGACATCATACCATTAACGCTAGGCTGGGGCAAACAACTCATACTACCCCGAGTTGTTGGATATTTCTTCTGTTTCTTCTTCCGAATAGTGCGCTTGCCAGAGCCACTTCCCTCAAATTGCATCTCATTGAAACGATCCATATTTAAATCACCAAATCCACCATTACTTTGACCAAATCGACTCTCCCGGTATCTTACAAGTAATTGAAATGTTTCTCTAATGTTATCGAGCAAACACACCAACAACTCGTGAGCGTCTTGTTGTTGGTTGCCTTCGAAGATGGGATTAACGTCCCTAAAAACATTAATGCAAGATCAATAGCCGTGAGACGTATTGTGCCGTAGAAAAGTAATAAAAGGGACGAAATTTAAGGAATACATCAGGAGAGATCTTTTTTTATGGACAACTGTATAGAATATGTTTTAACCCCTCAAGTACGGCATCGATGCCACATCTAGACCCGAGAGCTTGTCCTACCGGCCGGCGTCTATGTCATATAGACCCTTTCTGTGATTAATAAAAATTCATTACCTTTCGTACTATTGTAGATATCGAAATTCTAAAAATTTCCCCATGAAACAGATCAAATTATCAACACAATGTGACTCGATTTGTTTTTCAACTTATTTTTAATGTTTTTCTTCAATACATGAACAATACGGAACTGAATTCGATGTCAGATGCATATTCAAACCTGTTGTTTATCGAGCTAATTTTCACAAAAAATTCTGACATTTTTACCACACATACTCTATACATTCCTTTGTCGAATGGCGCAAAGGACATTTCGATTCAATGAATTACTGATTTGTTATTAACAAATTTCCGACAATCGCCGATCTTGACAACCGTTTATACTATCGAACTAAGATTAGTCTTAAAAATTCCAGAAAAATCTATATAAAGGGATACCGTAATTGAACAACTTATTGGTGAAAGCTCAAGATTATCGTTAAATTTTAGATGATAATTTTTTGTTCATCAGTATAGAAATTGTTGCGTATTGAATAGCGAATTCGAGCAAACAGGAGGCCGCCAGCCGATGAGAACACTGCGCAATATGGGCGCCGTACTTGAAGGATTAACAAGTTTACATCAGCCTAGCTATGGGGCGTACATTATTGAAACATGAGATTACATTGAAATCCTCATTCGAAAATTTCACAAATCTAGTCTGTTTCCAATTATTTTCAAGTTTTTGCTTCCAAATGGAAGCATTGTAATCGTTCAAATTTAAGTTTTGGATTTTTTGAGTTATATCGACCCCATATGATCCAAAAAGTCCGAAAATGCCATTTTTAGACCTCGTCCGTACGTGTGTATGTATTTGTATACGTATGTAACAAAGTTTTTCTTTAAATGTTCGCTAATGTTGAACCCTATCAATCGCCATTAATTAAATTTTAATTTATCGATTAGTTTTCTTAATTGTCTAATTTTTTCGCAAATCGGTTGTCCCACCATAACTAAAAAAATTATTTTGAATTGATTGAATAATGGGTCAAAAAATTATTTGGATGCCGTTTTAACCAAATTCGAAGATGAAGGCGATAGCAATAATCGTTATTTTGATTAATTTGAAAATTTGCAAAAATTTTATATTTCTTGAAAATAAGAATTCCGGGAATATCTTTGAATATCATGCTTCAAATGAATCGTAGCTTAGAATGTTTTTTTTAATGCCACTAAGTCGAAGTGAAAAGATGATTACGGTAGCTATATTGGTTGATTTGATTTTAATGATAATTGTTGAAAACGTTGAATTTTTCATGAATTTTCCTGAAAGTGAGCTTTCTGATGGTTTCTTCAAATGTAATGTTTCAAATTCATTCAAGAATGTATAAATAAAATTTTTCTAATAACATTTTATCGTAGGGCTGAGGGGAGAGATAGAACTATGAAAAAAACAATTGGTTGTATAGAAGAAAGGAATAATAGGAATAATGATGATAACATTCAACTAAGTTGAAAATTTGATAAAATTCGTTGAAAAGAAATCTTATTCAATTTAATAAAATGAGATAAACAATGAATTATCCATGATAGAAGGTAATAATGTGCAAAATAACCATTCGGAAGCATATTGCTAATTTATTAGAAAAATAAATATACTATATGCAATACAAGAGCAATTTGCCATTTGTTTTTCATTTATTATTAATTTAATTTTGGTTTCACGTTGAAATTGACTTTTACACAATAATTACTGAGGAATTAAAAAATGTTCGCAAATATGTTAGAAGCAGCTAGGAGGTACACCAACCCTAAAATGGTGTCGTAATGTCTAGAATCAATTGAGAAATTTTTAACAATTATCTCTTAGGAGGGGTTTCTAGAGGATTTTCGAAATTCTCAGAACACTCTTTACAGGTCCGAAACTTCCCACAATTTTCTAGAAGTATCCATGATTTGAAAACCCAATATCTTGGAGATTTTTAAAGATGTTTCTTGTCTCTACAACTTTCACATTCAACGGAAAATGGCATGGAAGTTTCAGTCTCAAAGCAAATTAATTAAATTGTTAATATGTTACACCTGCATTTATCTCTCTCCACCTGATTCATTCCAGAATTTCCTTTGATTGATGAATTCATAGTTTACCAATTGTATGAGTCACGAATTTACCTCAGAGCTTGCAAAAATGCATCGGGCTGATACGGCTCACTGTTCTCCTTAGTCTCAGATACCCTCAGTGCCATAAATAACTCATGTAATTTTTCAGTGGCAACTTGTATCCTTGGTTTATTCAGTTCACCCAATCCAGATAATGCCGATAAATCTTTGCTACTCCAACTTCGATTACCACTTGACGTCAGGGAAACACCTGTACGTCCTAGTGACGATGATTTTACCTGAGGGGTAGAGTCAAAAATTATTGTTGGATATATTTTTTCATTTCCACTTATCATATGGTGTGCTTTAATAACGTCACTTCTGATTGAATCGAGAATGAAATTATTCTTGCGTAAAACGAGCCAACACCTAGAAGAAATATTCTTCTGATAATGTTGCTATTTCTTTTCGATTCTGAAATATTTCACAATGATTCATTTTGGAGTAACTTAATTAGCGCTATGTACACTACTCAGAGAAAAAAACAAACAGACTTGTTTGAATGCATGTTCTCAAACAAGTCTTATTTGAACCGAAAAACAAAATGCAAGTTGATCATAGAAAAAATAGAAATTTTTTCATTTGAACATACGAAAGCGTCAAACCTGAATAATCGCTCTGCTTTCAATAGCGAAATATTTAATTCAAAATGTAAATCATTCCAGCGAGATGGTGCCATTCCCGGATGAAAATATTTCCAACAAAATGAGTTAATCAAGGGATATCGTCTTTTCAAGTAACAAGATTGCTATCATATTATCATTAATTTATTCAAGAATTAATTTATTTTTAAGTATTAGATAGCGGCTTCAGAAGCAAAATATATACACTTGTATAGAATAACGAACAAGTAGTGTTCGATTTGAAATTTCTTACTCACACAGAAAATAACAATTCTTTGGAACAACTAAATCTATTTTTGCAACAGAATTTTTCATCTCAGCACGAGATTCTTTTTCCTTGATAATTTTAAACTTGCAATTTTTGTGGTTCAAACAAAACTTAAAACCAACTCTTTTCTCTCAGTATAATTGACTGTTCAATTTTCGTTCCGATTCTCAATTAAACGTTGAACAATTCAACATTTCCAAAATATATTTAAAAGGATAATATTAAATTAAACGGAATTTCCAATAGTTAAAAATTTTATGTTGATTTGAATCTTTGAATATGAATTTGTGTACCCTCCGGACTACCAATAACAAATCGTATGGGAAATCAAATGTTTATAAAATTTTTGTTAAATCCATAGTTTTTGTATTGAATGAATTAACTGAAATTTACTTTGAAGTGATTTATGGTCGATATTTCAAGAATTTACTCCTAAAATTGGATTCTGCTACAAACATGAATAGAAAGCATTCCTTTCGAGTTTCTCTCCAATTATTGATCAGGTTAAGTAAGGAAGTGGTAAAAGGAGGTAACCAAGGAAGTTCAGACGCAATTTGCTTATCCTCGCCGTACCTACATTTTGTAGATAATTTGCACAACAATTTGTGCCAATTTTCTCGATTAACCTCCAGTCACCACTCTGCTGCACAACTGAGTTGAATGAGTAAATTTTTGTATTTCCATTGAAATTACAATTAAAAAAATATGCTCTTCCGTGAAAAAATCATTCTCACCTTTACCTGTGACTGTTTCTCATTAAGATTCGACAAATCTGTCGCAAGATGATGTAAATTGTGCAAGAACGATGGTGCAAAGCGCAGCGTATATATAACGCTGTTCAAAAAGCATGTATTCCCGAGATTACACAGCGTTGCAACTCTCAAACCCTCAGAGCAACCCCCAATAATGTCGTAAGATGCGTCTTGATGATTACCGAGTTGACTCCGATATCCATTCAACATTTTGCTTGTGCCTGAATAAATATTACAGTTTAGATGAATTGTTTCAGATTTAAAAGAGTTCATGAAAATATGAACAAATGGTGCAGTAACGAATAAATAATTTTAGAAGGATGATGAATAATCTGAAAGAATTATCGCAATATGTAAAGAGTAGAAAAAACAAATTGGAAACCAATCTATAAGTCGCTCTTTGAATGTCTCGTTTGAAGGAATTGTGTTACTTTTACAGAGAGAAGTTCCTAATTTACAAAGCCAAGTTACTGGTTCTAAGAACCTCATAGCTTCAGAAGCAACTGAGAATAAGAAACTGGTTACTCAAATTCGAAAGAAGAATCCATCAAATTCAATACCCCAAATATACCTGTTGCAAACAAGAAAAGTTCTTGAAAGAAGAACATTTGTGTTAATAAGCATTCGGAAGGGTTAAAGTTCAAGAATAATTAAACATTAACTCCACATTGATAGAGTCAAAGTGTCAAATTACGTGGAATAACGAAGGATGTATAAGTTTGAGTAGATTAATTTTAGAACGGGAAAACTCATCTATTCAAAACTGAAAATATTCTTAATTTCAAAATTCGGATGTTCATGATTCAAGAATCCAAAAGTTTTCATTTTCAAAGCTAAAATTTCCTCAAAATAAGAGAAAATGTACGCCAATTTGAATACAATTATATTAAATTGAAGGAATGATGGCTGTGAATTTCACCTTCTTTCTCTGACTTTTAGAAAAGATTTCCTTAAAAAAAGTGACAATTTCACTTAACTCCAGAATTTTTCACTCGTTGGGTTTCAGTTTGACAGAATTTTCAAGTTCAATCTTTTTTCTTCTACGAAAATATTTTGTCCACAGAAATAGGGAATAAGTATTACAAAAACATGTTTCAGAAGAGATCCCCAGAAAATAAAGTACACCAAAAAATTGTATTTGACGTCCTGAATATGTGAATAAAAAAACTTACTATAAGGAAGATCTTGATCTTCGAAGAAGCCCCCTCGTGTAGACGAGTGAGGGGGCTGGGATATATTCTTATTAATGTTATGTTCCCGTCGTGATAGAGACAAGCAAAATTTTTTCCTGGGGGGAACGGATCGCTCATCCGAATCTTCTTCTGCCTCTAATACTGTCATTTTCCACTAACCTAAAATTGTAAAAAAAAATCATGACAATTAAACTTTATAATGTTCAATAAAAAATAAATAAAAACCCATATGATCAACAACAAAATTAAAACCTCAAATACGTCCTAAAGACCCGACAAAATCCTTAAAAACAATGTTGGAAAATGCTCACGACTTCACCATAAGTGGACAAATGGTGAGAAACCTTGGAAAAAAAATTAAGGAGAAACGTATAAACAACAACTACAACTCAGTAACATAATTCTCTCTATAAATTTTGAGAATGCTCATCTACGATCATTGATAATATTACGTACGTATTATCAGGTGAAGAAGTCATGGAATAAATAACGTTCACGAATAAGCGTCACTTGCACGAAACAAATTGCGCAACGAATTATAAAATATCACCGAATTTCCACAATCGAAATAATAATTCAACCAACTTTAAATTGTTCGTTATTATAGGTTGATGGTGTTGATCCTCTCAATGTTAACTATCCGTTATTTTTGATAAACAAAATATGTTCCATTAACGGCTACATTTTACACATTTCATACACAACAGCATTTCGATGATTTTACTGATGGCCATTGCAGGATTTTCACCCGATGGGTGGACACATTTATTAGAATAGAAAACTTGTGAGCGAGCGAGATATTTAGGGAAAGAGTGGATTGGGCTCGGCCATGAAACAAACTAAATGTGAACGTCCGGTTTTCAAGGAAATGTTGTAGAATCAATTATCTATTGATGATAAAGAATGCTCCTTCCTTTACGAAGACGAGGCACACCCAACACCAACTGGGTTTTTCCCATCTCGCCGCAATTCAGGTTCAAGCGGTTCAAGCCCATGTCTCTTCATACCCCCTCCACACGATACGGTAAACATTCTAACCTCACTTCCGTGTGCGAATAAATCACTGAGGGATCATTTTGAGGCGGCGAATCAGTGATTCGCTGCCGTTGTTTTAATTATTTTGTTATTTACCACGGGAAGAAAAATGAAGTCCTTTGGAATCAAAATATCTCACAGGTAATTTTGTTCTATTTTTAAAGATTGTCAAGTGTTTTATTTGAAGAGAAAAATAGATATTGTTGAAAAACCGGAGTAGTCATGCCAATTAAAGGGTATGAAAAAGAAATGACTTAAATTCATGTTCTTGACTGATAGAAATGGTGATTTCCAGGGGATTGATTCAGAGCACTTTCACCAGGCTCCAATCAACAGCTGCAAGTACCCCTTCAAAGTCTTCGACTCCCGAGATTCAAATACCAGTGAAAAAGCAACGCGGACCTACTGATATTCTTCAAGCACTTGAAAAGACAATTTCTCGTGATCCTACAGCGCCGAAATATAAATATCACGATGATCCTTATCTCATTCCCTACTCAAATCTGCAGAAGAGGACATTTGCTCTAGCTCAGGAGTCTGGCAGAAAAACTGCAATGTGGATTCGTGCAGAGCATTCTAAGCTCTTCCAGCACAGAGTTGCTGATCCAGTTATTGAGGTGACTTTCCCTACAATGAAGATAACATTATTTCCTGTTTTTTATGACCCACTAGTGGCTAATGATTTATTTAGATTAGATTAAATTTATTTCAGTCAAATAAATGAATTTTTCAAATAGGTCGTAATACATTTTTCAATAAAAATTGAACAAATTTTTTGTGTGTATTCTCATTGAATAAATCTGTTCTTTTTTTCACAATAACTGAATGTTTCCTTAGTCGGAATAACATTTTCATTAATTGCAAATGAAATCCTTTGTCTGGTTGTAGTTTTGTGGAATGAATCAACATCGTCAACTTTGTCAACTTTCATCTCGACATGAATTTTTGAAAACAATAATTAGTAGATCTTCGCTAGTAGATTGTAACATTTCCATATTTATTTAAAAAATATTCTAACATTAATCATGAATAAATGTTGCAGGTATTTCTACCGAAAGCAGTATATACAGATAAAGCAGCTGTCTCTGAAGAAATATTGAAAAATGTCATCAAGAATGGTCAAACATCTGATGCTATTGCGATTTACCAATTATTGGAAGAGCAAGTATCAGACGAAACCAAAGAGTCGCTTCTAGAACTGCTTTGTTATTACAACAATAACGAAAAGTTTCCTGAGGAATTGTCGGAGGAGAAGTGGTTCAGAAGGACGGAGACATCCACAACTTGGAAATATTGCCCTGTGACCGACAAACTTTTTGCGACTCTGAAGGATAAAGATGAAGCGACAGCTGCAAAAGCATATAATGCTATGATCTGTGGCCAATCAAAATACTTGAAGGTAATTTTTACAGTTTTCATATATGATTCGAAACTCAATAAAAATGGTCATTTGTTCAACGAGAATATATAGCTAAAAGAACAGAAAGAAGAAAGAATGAAAAAATTGACCTTTATTGAAAAATCTTTGAAAAATTTTAAATTTCGAAAATTCATGTTCGAATTACTCGAGACCGCTGAGACGATTTTGCTGAAATTTCAGTCTCAATCTTCAGTCTTAATCATATAAAGTTGCATGAATTATGACGACAAGAAATCAATCTTATCGGTTCTCTGAGAGAAACCATTAAATTTATTTAAAAAATGTCATTTTTCGACGGTTTTTCACAAATTTTGTTGCAAAAAAAATTGAATCGCATCGTTTGTTCGAGAGAAATCGTGACACAAAATTTTGGTCACACACACACACACACATACACATAGACATAGACAGTGGAGAAATCATTAAATTTCCACAAACGATTTTCGGGATCATTACTGAGTTTCCTCTGTATTGGTTTACCTGAGACACTTTAAAAATGTACCTCTGAATAGTATATTTTACGGCGAATACCATGGGGTTTTTACTCGCATGGAGTTGGTGTCCGAGCCGAAGGCCAGGACTGGCCAACCACGCGAGTAAAAAACCCCATGGCACTAGTCGTGAACGATATTTTTCCGTAGTGACTTTCACTTTTATCAGTTCGGGGAAGGGTCAATACCAATCCCCGGACTTGGAAAAGTGAAGGTCAGTACGGAAAAGTTTACTTATTATTCTCGATAAAGTATCTTCTCAAAAATATCTGCGACAAAATCGCCACGACAAATTTACCTCCCAGCAATTATAAAGATCACCATGAAGCTAATGAAGATAACCATGTGTTATCCAAAAAAGACGATGTTTTAAGACCAACTTCAACTCACTTGAGGCACACTTGGAGTAGTTTGAAGAACGTTGAAGTACACTTAAAAAAAACGATTTTATAAACAGTCTAATAGTAATTTTTTTTAAAGTGACATTGAATTCTATTTAAGAGGACAACCTCTATGAATGTGTAAGTTTCAAGTACAATTCAAATGAATTCAAAAACTTTCAGTAGAAATGAGAAAGAAATTTTAGAATTTATGTGAATTTTCAATAGAACATGCATAGTCAGTATGAAAACGAGCTGAATTTTCAATGATTTGAAATTTACGAAACCAAATTAATATTTAACAAATATTATTTAAATTAATATTTTTTGGCCTGAATAGTTTCGTTTTTTCTAATTTCCACTGAATAATCAAACTGTAATGTATTATGCGTCATGAACTAAAATATAACATATATGTTTTTTTTCAATGACGATATTTTCTGAAATTGCAGTGGAAAGGGAACTTGCTAAAAATTTCCGGGATTCGACGAAAAAATCTAGACGAAAATTTTTAACCGTATAGTTTGTCGTTGAGCTCAAACCTATTCGAACTTCAACTATTCAAAAGTCATAACGTAAAAGATTAACAAAACGGGCAAGTAATGCAAAAATCGCTATCGAGTATATTGTCGGAATGATCTTTTGGGAGGGCTATTTTTCCATGCAGATTATGTCACGGATATTTTTGGGGTGAATATTTTTCCGTGGAAATTATGTTGCGGATAATTAGTCGGACAACTCTCTGAGATGAAGGATAATTCATAAAATCGTCGATTTATTGAATTTTTCTAGATCGAGGCAGCTTGGAACCTCTTTCAAGAAGCCGAGAAGAAAGGTTATCCAATAGCAATAGAAACCTACAACCAATTGATTGGAATCATCTCTTACCGGAAAGATGGTCCACGAGAACGTTTGGCAGTACTGATGGAGATTTATAACAAGATGCAAACAGCTTGCATTCAACCAAACACAGAAACATTGGCTAATTCATTGAAATTAGCTGCAGCGATTCCAAGACATTCATCTGCAATGGAAGTATGCAGAGATATTTTTACAGAGTTCAAAGCTATAGGTGTAGAACCATCACTGTCATGTTATTACTACGCTTTGGTGATTTATTACAAAAAAGGTGAATTGAATTTTTCTTGTAAAACTTTTAAAATGATGTGCCCAATGAATTCTTCCGGTAAAACCGGAAGCATCTGCCCATCTACACCGTGCTACAACTTTCTGAGTCATTCTATAATTTTGTAGAGAAACAGAAATCTCAAATTATATGAAATAAGATTTTAGAGAGTAACAGGTTTGGAAGAATTTTCCGAAAGATGCGTTTTGTACTTGATACAATTTTATACAACAAAACATCTTTCGACAATTTCACCTGGACCTGGACTCATTTGTTCCAAAGACATTAAAAAAATTATTTGCTAATAATTCATTCGTTCATATTTATCTTTCAATACTTTTTCTTGTTAAATGTCATTTTTATTTTTACAGCGGAAGCTAGTGCTCCTCCAAGTTCTCTCCTTCGAGAAATAATTGCAAATCTCGAAAGAAGAAAAGATTTAAAAATGGAAAATTCGATGGACACATTTTTCTTCATGACTGCAATGGAAGTAGCCGCAAATAATCTTGAGGATCCAATTTTTGCTGATCGAATTCATAAACTTCTGCTCACCAACGATAATTACAAATTAATAGGAGATGCATTCAAAGAGAATTTATACTACCGCCACTATTTCCAGGTTCATGTGGAGAATAATGCTCTCGACGAGTTTATGAAATCATATTATGACCTGATAGTCCCTCACGTTTACACCCCAGAGCCAAATATCATGAATGCAATTCTTCAAGCGGTGAGTGCCAATGATCCTGAGATTGGCATGCCGCTGCTTCCAAGATTATGGACACATTTGGTGCAGTTTAATTATCTTGAGAGGAAAGATTTGGTCTCCAAGGCTCTCCATTTAATGACAACACATTGTATACCACCGAAGAATTCACCAGTACATCAAATGTACGCGGACGCTGCTTGGACTGTGTGGAACTTTGTTATGGTAATTCATTCCCTGAATTTTTTCCGCATTATTCGAATTGGAAGATCGATAATTTACAAGTGTAACACTTTTTTATTCTAATAATCATATTTGAAAAAAAAATTGATTCAAACATTCCACTGAAACTTTTGTTGTCTAATCACTGGTTTACTAAATAATGTTATAATTAACAGCAATACTCTGTTTACCATTAACGATGAATTTTTCAGGCCCAGAGGAACAAAAAAGTTCAACAGATAAGTTGGACGGGACCAATTCTTGGCGACGTGGCTATTTTATGCCTTCGTGCTGATGATTTCGATAAATGGACGCAGATAATTACTTTCATGTTCACCCAGCAAAATTCTATCATCGGCCCACCATCTGCTGGTCAAATTGATGAACTCTTCAATGCGTGCATTCTCGGAGGACATGCTCAATCTGCTTTGGTAATTAAACGATAATGTTTAATACTGCTGTTATCGAGCAGACTTACGTTTCAGTTAATTATTCAGTCAATTATACCTATACTTTGTTGGATATAATTAATTTTATACCTCGCGCTATAAAAATCACTCCTTATTTTTTATATGCTTTCTCAAGCAAGAAAAACGTTCATACAATTTTTCTTCTGTGTTTTATGATATAAAATACATTACCTTCATTGAGGATTTCCAACTGATTTTCTTTTCAAATGTGTAATTGACCCCGTAATTTCTAAAAATTCAATTTTTCATTTCAGGACTTGATTCACTACTGTTCAGACATTGGTTTTGAAAATGTCCCTTCAATGGCTTACAAACTTCATGTGAATCTCCCTCTCGTGGACCACCAAATGAATCGTTTGAAAAGCTTGGTAGATCCGGAAGTGCTAAAAATCCGCTCAGAAGACTCAAGATAATTCATCTAAAATGTTTGGTTCTATCAGGAAATAGAAGAGTAAGAAACAATCGAAATAATATCCAATCGATGTTGGATTTTCAATGCATTAATGTAAATAAATAAATGTTGAATTCTCACATGGATTGACTTTTGAGATGAAAATGGGTGTCTTTCTAGATGATTTCGTTTCTTTTGAGCTCATTATCTCATAATTTACTTCTTTGACCACCCAGAAATTTGAAAAACTTTCAGTGAATATTTAAAATTGAAGTTATTGACACTTACCCCTACCACAGTGAGGGGATAAAGCCACCAGATTAGAAGAATTAAAATAGAAGTTCGATGTTTTTTTGAACAATTTTTACGTGCATACATGGTCGTCATAGAGCCAGGGAGGTATAGACGCTCTGGTTTTACATACCCTCGTGGCCCTTTGGCTCTACGACGAGTGACGCATTTAATTACAGCGTAATTGCGAGATTACTAGAACTGGCCACGCACTCCATATACGGATCATTTGCGAAAGGTTCCGTTTAACACTGCATTTATTTCGATAATAATTAATTCCTACCTGAGAACCCTAACAATGCTCCATGACAAACATGACTACCCCACGAAGTCATGACAAGTGCACGGCAGTTGCCATGTGGATATTTAAATGGGAAAAGTTTATCATTTGGGTTTAGAATGAATAGGAATAAAGTGAGATTAGGCATGAAGAGATCCGTTATATATTGAAGTAATAATTATTTCAGCAACTTTTCTCAAAGGAGAACTCCATTCTTGTCTTAAACTTTTCTTTACAGTTCAAACAATTCCTTCGAAAAAGGAAATAATACATGATTACATTGCTAGATCAACGAAAGAAACACTTCGTAAAACGTTACACTGGGTTTTTGCTCCCGAATGGAAGCTTTGTAATTGCTCAAATTTAAGCTTTCAATTTTTTGCGTTACGGTAACTAAATATGGTTTAAAAAGTCTAAATATGTGATTTTTAAATGCTATCTACATGTATGTATACATGTGTGTACGCATGTATGTCATCTTTTTTCTTTATTTTTTAAATCGAAATGTTCTTGTAAGTGATGAATCGAATTGGATCATTTGTTTTCATGAATGTAGGCTTCAATAAGCTCTATTCATTGATACCAATTAAAATTCAATTTTTCATACATATTCAAAAAAATTGATATTTTTGCAAAAATCGATTTTTCAACTATCACTCAAATAATTATCAAAATAGAATTATAGTCCATACGCTGTATCATCAAAATCTCTATATCTATTAAATTCAGGTACTAGTCTATTATGTTGAATACTTGTTCACATTGATTCATGGTCCCGACAAACTTCTAACAGATCCCCGCTATACACTAATTAAACCTTGATTAAAGCCGAAGTGAAAACAAATTCAAGTCTTGAGAAGGTCTGAACGTAGAGTTATTTGATAGAATGAAATAATCCGCAAAATTTTGATGACATTTCAATTGATGATAGTACTATGAAATGGAAAAATAGAAGAAGAGAATAGTGAAATAAGAATAAAAAAAGAGAACTCATTTAGAAGCAAATTGCTAATTTATTAGCGATTTTCCCTCAAATTTATAATTTTCCGTATTATTCCTCCATTCATCTTCGCAAGAATACATTCGTAAAAGTGGTATGGCAACTATCCAAGCCACCACGAGATCTCAATTAAAAAAAAAATTACTTGATAAAATCAAAATTTTTGAAAATTCAGAAAATTCTAAAAATTCTTCATGTTTCGGCGTGATAAATTTCTTACTACATGAAATTCACATTTTTTTCTTCATCATACCTCATGTTCAAACGCAATACCTTAAAATAATTGACATAGGTATCAATGTCCTTGTCCCTTGGATACCCCCATTCATTCAAACCCATTGATGAATTAAGTATCAACTGGTGGTGGGAGATTTCGAAGGGGGAACTCTAGTTACTAAAATGCTCATTTCCTTTCATCTGCAGAGAGTTCTCTGCCGTCATAACATTGCCGACTACTTATAAGTCGAGAGCTGAAGAATTAAACAAAATCTTTGTTGTAGAAAAAAAAAATCAATTTTCTTCGTCGAAAAAAAAATTGAAATTTCGGTTCGAAAAAAACGTTAAAAAGAAGTAGATTTTCCAGCGGATCAAATAATGAATAGTCAACTGATTTGTAGAAAATCAATAAATGAATTCATCTGTGAAATAATAAAAGAACATGAGCCAGACGTTGAAATTCTTCAAATGAATGAAGAACCTGGAACTGGAAGAGGTGACAATTACACGTCGATGTTGTATCGCCTACGCTTGAATGGACGAAAGCGTTTGAAGTCTGGTGATTGTGTCCCCTGGGAGACTGCAATTATTTACAAAGTCCTGCCTGAGTCCCAAGCACATCGCGAGTATTATAAGAGTGAGCTATTGTTCAGAAATGAAGTTGCTTTTTACAACCACGTGTGGCCAGCATTTGAAGAGTTACAGAAGGATGGAAGAGGAGTTTTTGGTGGAGTGGCTAAGGTTTTCATTGCTCAATCGGATCTTATTGCTATGGAAGATTTGAAGAGAAAAGGGTATGTGATGGCTGACAGGAGGAAGGGACTAGGGATCGATAGATTGAAGCTCGTGCTTAAGGCTTTGGCAGGGTTCCATGCATTGAGTTTGACCCTTCGTGACTTGAGGTAAATTTCGAAATATATTTTCCCCATTAAGAAAAAACACGAGTGACGGAGAAAAGCGGAATTCAGCAATTCGTGAGCAATAAAACCAATGAATTGAAATGCAAAAGAATTCACTGAAATTGCTCATTACGTTGCATAGAAGGATAGTTTTGATAGCTATTTTTCCGAGCTCAAAAAAAGATCGCTATTTATATTATTCCGTAAAATCACTCGTTCTCGAGATAAATTAACGATAATTATACTCATACTACTCATACACAGAGAAAAATTTACAAGCTGGGATTCTCACGGTTCTTGCCGCTTGCGGTATAATATAGTAACATACAAGAATTCCCTTGAAAATGACAATGCTGAAGGGTAATTATTTCCTTTGAAAACCCAGAATAACACTGGGGCTTCACAAATCTGATCCCAGGGAAAGGTATTAGCATGCCAATTTTCCAATTAAATTTTTCTTTGTGTACTTTAGATAATTTAAGATATGTATTTCTTCGCTAAATCATTAAATGTTCTAAAACATTGTAGAAAGGTCTAGATCGGTACAGAATCTTTTGAAACATTCGAGAATCATCTAGAAAATCCTCAAAACAAATCACGGCAGCCTGTATAATGACTCATCCTGAAGTATTCCAAAAGATTCTGGAATGCTCTAGAAATTTCTAAAAACTCCTGGATTAATTCGATTAATAGAGCTTATCTTTTCATGATTGATATACCTGCTAGGTACTAGGGCGGACCACGAAATCGTCTAGTTAATCAAAATTTCCCGTGTGATTTATGTTTTTAAGACCCGAAATTTTTGATCGTCTCAGTAATGAATCAAATCCGGAGGGAATTCGAGAGGGATTCTTCCGAATTGAAAATGAGGAATGGTATCGTCAATATTACCGCGTTGCCTTTAAAAATGCTATTTCAATGGTTTCTGAAGCACTACCACCTGAGGATGAAAGCAGACGAGATGATATTATGGGAAAACTGAAAGCATTTCTTCAGGAGGATGTTTTCTTTCGTAGAATGTGCGAGCTAGCATCCACTCGTGGACCACTCACGGTGTTTTGTCATGGGGATTGCTGGACAAACAATTTTTTGTTCTGTGATCAACTGGCGAGTAATGCTGAAGTATATTTTTTTAAAATAAATTTATAACCTTTTGAAATTAGAAAAATTGACAATTACATTATTTGACTTGCTTCTAGCCGGTTTACCTTGTGGATTTCCAATTAACGCGCGTCGGCTCACTGGCACTGGATTTAGTGAATCTCCTCTACCTCTGCACTTCTGCTGAAGTTCGGCGGACCCAAATGACTTCTCTTCTGCGTCATTATCATTCAAATCTAATGTCTGCACTCAATACTTTGAATACTGGCAACGAGGACAAGGATTCTTCAGTAATGTGGGATTTGTAAGAATTTTTCCTTCGATATTGCAACGATATTTCCCAATTTCAACCAAATTTTCGACCGCTTGGTGCGAAAATCTTTTCAAATAAGTTAAAAGTTTTCAGAGAAGTTAATTTGATTCAAAATTCCATTAACTACAAATAATGATATTTCTATATTCTTTTCGAAACTTGCCAGATTGTTATGAAATTTGCGCACTTCGACGGATTAAATTTTTTATCAATACGGTAGAATCGGGCAAACGAAGACTCTTTAATCATCAGAAATTTGAGAATGGCAGAGTGAAATTTCTCACTTAAAAATTTTTTTAATTCTTTACAATTAACACTCTCCCCTGCATGAAAATTTGTAAAAATCTCTACATGATGTTGAAAATTCCAAGGATTGTAAACGAAAGGGAGCTATTCAAACCACCATATCTTTACATCTTTGTAGTAAATTTCATGTTGTTATCCAAAATTTTCTATTCGGCAAAATACAACCACACCGTTAGAAATTTTTGTCTGAATTTTCCGTGCCAAATTCCGGAAATTTTTATCGTATTCAAGTTCCACTGAAATTTCAGGAAATCTTGTCATTGAAAAATCAAATATTCCATTGATTTTCCAGTTCGATTATTCGGTGAAAATTCAGAAAAATCTGGGAAATTCAGGGAAAAATGTGAAAATTCATGTTATTTTCTTTCTGAATATTTAGGTTCCACTGAAAATTCAATCAAGTGGGGAAATTTGCGTCTCACTCTCACTGAAAACTCATGAATTTCCATGGATTGTACTTAAAACATGGAATTTCATAACGATTTTGTCCCTAAATCCGATTCAATGTTACTCGCATGAGATTTATCATAATATCTTCCATGAAATTTCAAAAAAATTCCAACGGTGCATCGACATTCCCACTTACCATTGTTAATTTCCAATATAATTATCTAATTTAACAATGATTTCACTCTGAATTTGTTTCTATTACAGGCTGAATGATGAAATGCGAAGATGTGCACGTTTCGGTTTAGGTTTGGCAATTGACATGATTCCAATAACTACATGCGACAGTAATCAAGCGCCTGATTTATACGAAGGGGAGTGTGACGGTAATGAGGAGGGTCACGGTATTCGCGCCCCGCCACTTGGAGGTACCCAATGTGCCAGACTCATGACTGACCTCGTTTTGGAATTCATTCACGAATCTGCCCTTTAACTCTTCCAGTTAAACTGATTGATTTGAAAAATGTAGTGTTAAATGCCTTTGGAACGTTTTCTTTTACCAGCGTCATGTGACCAAAGTTCTATACTAATCTCCAGCCTTTATATACATAAGAAACAAAATCCATTAGGGGAATTCAGGAGAAGTGTGAAGATTAGATCAGGATTCAGGCTTTTATGTCTCACAGGATTTTTTGCAAATTCGCGAGGGTTTCTCTCATTTTTACTCACATTCCCTCCATTCAATTTTCTTCATAATTTGCATTGTATTTATCATATGTCATGTAATTATTCTGAATTTTCACAAATTTGACTCAATGTAAGAGATGGCGAGAAAAATTGGATTTCAATAATAATTTCGATTATGGGGTAAACGAAATAGTCATGAAAGAAACGTTCATTTGCAACTGAGGAATTCGTCTGTATATCTTTAATTGTCAAAGGTCGCAATATTCAGAAAAATTCAAAATATGTGTACAAGTAATTAATTTCATCTAAATTAACCAAAAAAATTCGAGATTTATAAAAAGAAAACATTTTTTTTCCATTTCTTTCATTACCACTAAATTACTATCTTTGTATTCAATACTTGAAACTGGAAAAAATGAAGAAAGAAAAGGAGATAGAAAAGAATAGACCCTAAGCACTATCCATTAAATCTTTGACTTAACACTCAGAGTCAAAGGTAAATTCAAAGTTGGAAATTTTCAAAAATTATTTGTCACAGTACACATGCTTCACATGAAAAAACGCACAGACAAAAAACGATGATTAAACTGAACAAGAAATCTTCCCTTGAAACGTCCTCTGATCATTATCCAACCTGTAGTATAAAATTGCACCTAATGTACCAGTTGCAAAAAAACCGTGACAAATATTCCTCGAAAATCCTTGAAAATACGCAAAGAAAACTCCAATGAGACTTCACCACAAATGGACCAATACCCAGAAAAAATAAGAGACTATTTAGAGTCCACCCACACTTTTTATAACTGAATTTGAGAAGAGAATCAATAAAAGCTATCTTCATGGTCTTAAAAAGTCTCATGCCCACAATATCTTTCCCTCCTCTCCCTCGTCAAGTTATGCCTACTGAGGTGGTGTATGAGGTGGCAGCTGTGACTGCTGTGATTGTGGACTTGGTGGTTGTTGTTGTGCTTGAGGTCCCTGCCATGGAGGATGCTGAGCCTGTTGCTGCTGATGCTGCTGCTCCTGTGCTAACCTCTGATGTGCCTGTTGTCGCGCCCTAAACTCAGCAGCTTTGAGTTGCTCCAAATGGAATTGCTGTCTCTCTGTGATCAATTGTTGCCTCTGGTACTCTAGCCCCTCCCTTTCCCTCTCCATCGTCGTCTCCAACTCCTCAAAATGACGGAGTTTAATCTCCAACTTCTTCATCTGAGTCTCAACTAATAATGCCACCAACGACTTTATCTTTCGTTCCTCAACAGCAGCCAGATGTTTAGCTTTGACAGCAGCAGCGGCAAGTGCAGCGGCAGCAGCAGATTGTAACTGAGCATCTCTAACGACCTTGTCTTTCTTCTCTTTAGCCTCAACCTCCTCGGGATTATCAACCTTAGATGTAGCCTCAGCCTCTCCCTCCTTAGTATCAATATCCATTTTCTCCAATTGTTGTACTTCAGTTTCAGTGCCTTCTTCTTTCTTAGCAACTACAGAAGCTGGTGGTGAAGTTTCAGCATCCTTCGGTTTCTCAGTTTCATCTTTCTTACTATCCGGAGTGGCAACAGCTGGTGGCGAGGCTGAAGCAGCGCTTGGGGTATTACTGCTGTCCTCTGGTGGCTCAGGCGGTCCAGTACCAGCGATACCCGATTGTGCGAGCCCAGCTGCCGGATCGAACTTACCATCAGCATTGGCACTCGCTTGGACATTCCTCAAGTGTTGATCAAGTAGAGCAGCTGGCACCTGATCCTTAATAGCTGCAAACTCCTCCATCGCAGCCTTTGCAGCACTGGCAGCGACTCTTGGATCTACAACTGAAGCTAGGAATGCAACAGTCGACATAACTGGATTCCCGGCTTTGGAGAAAGGTACTGGTTGGTAAGCCAGAGGGCCGAGACCCTCAGGACCACCTTCTTCGAGATATGGATCTTCAATAGGCAGCCTCAAGAAGTGAAGAATGCATTCGTCCTGTGTTCTCGATCCAACGTGCTCACAAACTTTGTTCCAATCATCTTTATGGAGTTCAAGACCTTCGAGAAGAAGGAGAGTCTCTTGTTCTGTCCAATCTCTGGTGGCACCTGCTGCTTGTTTATTCTTGAGTACTGCTGGCTTACGAGCATACTGATCAATTTTCAATCCAAAGTTAGCCATCGCTCCAACGGCACCTTTCTCTTCAGGTGTGATTATTGGCTTCTTCTCCAAGTCCAGAAGAGTCTTCGCTGCTGACGGTTGAGGTGTCTTTGGTGGATTTGGATTGACTGGTGCCAAACCACTTGGAGTATCTGACAGAACATGGAAATGAGATGTTGGAGGTGGTCCCATCGGGGTTGGTCGAGATTCAGCATCAACTTGGTAATTTATCAATCCCCACTGCTCCAAAAAGGCATGAACTCTCATAATGGCACAAACGTCACCAGCTAGATTTCTCCTGCAAGCTGTTGACGTTATGTACTCAGTGGGATTCAATCTGTAAGTATCAATCATGAAGTTTCTATATGCTAGATAAATCTCAGGGGTTTTCGATTTATTTTTTCCATTGAAGAATTCTGCTAGTGCTCGTTTTTCAATCGTGTGAATCGAATTGTAATCGAACCAGGCTGAGTAACTTGGAACGACAATGTGATGGGTTTGCTCAGTAACATTGTCCTCAGGCTCGTCCTTATTATCTCCACGTTCTTTGCTGTGATCCCTCTCCTCACGATCCTGAGTGCTTTGTGAACCTTTGTCGCAGTCTAATGGCTCATCCAGATCGGCCATGTTTCCTGATTTGAGAGGCTGAAGTTCGGAGTCCTGTTTCTTATTGCCAGATGTCATGTTTCCAGTTGTACCTCCTTGGCCAGAGACAGGAGGGTTTGATGGGTTTGAAACGACTTCGACGATCCTTGGTTCTGCTGGGGGGTCCTCCATACCTTGGGTTAGATCCTCTTCCTCTTCTCCACCGCCTCTGGTCTTCTTAGGAGTTGCCACAGCTGAAGAGCCTGCTGCCAGTCCTGGTGCACGACCACTCTTTCTTTTACCAATTTTAGGTGGTGGGCTCGGTGAACGCTTCCGCTTCGGTTTCTTCGCTGAGGAGGGGGGATGGGAAGGCTGAGACATCAAGTCCTCCACAGTGAGCCTGTACTTGTGGACCTTCTTCTGTCCACTATCGTCCACCTCGTAGTCTTCCTCATTCATCCATTCATTGTATTGATCCAAATCTAATGCCCATGTTGCTGTGACTTTGTAAGTGGATTTTTGTGAGGAAATACCGAAACCGCTTTCTGGAAACTCAATGGGAAGATCAAACGTCGTCCAGGAGTCATAGCTGTCCGGAAAATAGTACCAGTGAAGCAAAACTGAACGATCACGACGCATCGTGGGACGAGCGTATTCTTCCTCTGTGGGGTCAACTGCTGGATATATTATGTGGGATGCTTCGGCTTCAGTCTCGGCTATTGTGCCCTGGTGACGACGCACTGACTCTTTCACCTTGGCTGCTGTCGATTTTTCCACTTCTGGACGCACGTAGATGCAGGGCACGCTGAGGCAGCGATTTTCTATGAGGGCGCGTTCTGCCACTCTCATCATCTCGATAATACGATCTAACCGGGAACCAGATTTTGGAACGTTGAAGTCGAATTTACGCCAGGTTTGCTCCGTTTTAAATTTATAAGCGGTTGCCAGGATGTGACAGAGACCACCGTTCGGCTTGAAGTCCAGAAAGCATTTCATCTGTGGAGAAAGTTGGATTAATTTACTATTATTATTTCAAATTAGATCGATTCAGGAATTAGGAGTTGAGTTTGAACTGTAAAATCGTTAGAGCAAAAAAATTTCTGAAATTTCAAAAAAAAATTGATAGATTTAAGGAATTTTTCTTGCATCATTCGCTGGATAAAAATTATCGATTTATTGATCGGTTTTAGGAAAAAATTTCCTCGAATCCATGTTTGATCAATATTATTTGGATCAAGTTTTTAATTTAATTCAGAAATATTTCTTTGTTCAAAACCCTTTTTTCTACTTTTCAGGGAATTCCGATTCTAAAGGAACGATAAAATATCCTATATAACGAAAATTTTGACTGTTTACTTATCCGTTTTTTGATGATTACTTCTATACAATTGTTCTCCATAAATCCGGAGAAAATGACGGGATTCTAGAATAATGTATGTTAGAAACTATAGTTGCAAGAATTTAGAAAATGTTTCTTATTTTCTCTCTGTGTTTCAACATAATTGCTTCATAATTGCACTAGTTTTCGGATCTTGGAAATTTCCCATCAAGAAGGACTTTTGACATATGGCTCCACACTTTTTCACTCTGAAGATATGGGTAGATTAATACTTGAAGAATGTTTCAGAACGCTTGAACAAAGAATATTCGGTTTGCATGAACTTACTGGAAGCCTCGTCAGCGGCGGTTTCGAAACATTTTTTCCAAGATAGGATTCTTGGAACTCAATCAGTTGGATCACAAGGGTTGCTAAACTTTTGTTTGTTGGCGGATCCGCTGTGACATACTATAACAATAAAAATTCATTAATAATATACAACTCATAAATCATATTCGCAACAAAATCATTCAAAGAGGATCAACTTTGCATTTGTTTTAAATGTCGGGCTCCCAAGTTAAAAGTGATTCCAAAATTGTAATAAAAAAACGTGAGCAATTTTTCTTTCACCTATTCGAAGCGACTGAACGAAACTTCTTTTAATAAAAATGACCGTCATTTATGTTAAGGTGCCCGATAAACTGCCTTTTCACCTCACTTCGCCTGGTTTCAACATCAATTTCGGGTCCAGCACAATAAACTAGTGTAATTCTCTCGTTACAAAAGCAATATCTGACGAATTTGATACCGTTTACTCATCAAAAATGCCTTTTTCAAAACAGTACGGTAATGTGCTATTACAAACGATTCATAACAAATACTGCGTCCTTTAAATCTTCGATTAATCGAATGATTTTTTCCAATAGAGAATTTCAACTTGATAATAAAACAAAAAAAATGTCTGCAAATGGTGTCGAGAACGCAAAAAATAACATTAATTCGCAAATATTCCTGACAAGTAGACGTTTATAGGAATTGATCAGCCGAATTGATTGTGAAAAATGAGCATTCTCCAATTCTTCAAGTCATCAGTTATTTGTTATTCTTCAAATGAACCCTTCTGCATCAATAACAATGCGAATTTCATAACAGAAGGATGAGTCTGAAAAAGATGATCGAAAAACAAATAACAAACTAAAGTGACAAACCATTGTTTTCTTACGCAAAAATATTAAACTTAAAACTTTCATGAAAACCGGAGGACATGTCAACAGAACCCAAGCCGAATAGTCTGGACTCCATGCTGCACAATGAAGCTCACTGTCTAAAAGTACAAAAAACTCTAGAATAAACTCTTCAAATTCCCTAATGAAATTAAGTGAAACTGAATGAACTGGAAACATTTTTTATCATCTAATGAAGATATAACTGGGCTGAATCGAACATGAAACAGCATTGAAAAGTGAAAAAATTGATGATGGGGGTTGGGACGCCGACGGATTGTTACTCACTTTTTTGCAGTTTTTTAGAAGCCACTGTTTGACTCCATCCAATTGCGCCAGTACATCTGGTGATTCGAAGAATTTGGTATTTGGTCCACCGTCCTTTTTTGGTCCGAGAGTCAACATCATTTATGATATTAATTGAAATACGTCGACAGACCGAGATTTAACAACGCCGCACCGACCGCAAACATCACATGCAACTGAAGTTATCGCTAGTACAAACCCGCCATCCAGGTGAACACGAGTTACAATATTACAATGAAAATTTATCAAATTCAATCGATTGATTGTTACAACAACAGAACGAAAGGCTTACAAATTTGATGGTAAAAATAACTTTGTTTATCTGTTTCTGCGGATTTTTAACTTCCCGATAGGGGAGTTATTGTGTTTGATTTACAATTTTGACTGTTCAAAAGGAGTTTGGAAGAAGGTGAGTCATTACTATGAAGTTGTCTGGTTATAGACCAGGCCGACGTAACCTGTATATTGTAACTTTTTTGGAAATTGTTACATTTTTGCAAACTATTGATGAGCTCCAAAAAACTAGAGAATCATATTCTAATGGTAGGAATATTATTATTTTTCAATGGATTGAAACATTTTTCATTATTGCAGATGTTAAAAATTGTTGAAGAAAACGGTGAAACGTCAATAGTTCCGCACTAACTACATTGTAGAATGCCCGACTGTTCTCAGAATGTAATAGAATATTCAAAACACATCATAATAATTTTTTTTTTATTTATCGTTACATCATAATAATAGAGATAAAATAATTGATAACCGAAGTGTAGATTATACAGATTTCAAAGTATTTTATCTAAAACATTGTACCTTTGTTGCGAGAGTTACTATATCAAGAACTGTCATTTCAGTAGTGTGTGGACAAAACAAGTTAAGGTAAACAGGTCAATTTCTGGACGGGGGTTAGTTTCTGGACGATTTCAACTTACATTGAATATTCCACAAATAAAATGGAAATTGTATTGATTATTTCACCTCTCCATAATATCACTTGTGTATAATCATGTGATCAATTATTTTCTTATATTGATCAACATTTAATGAATAAAAAAAAATATGACCCAGTCGTCCAGAAATTGGGGTTTCGGCTACATTCAACTATTGCTCAATTTAATTATTCTTTGTTTTGTTATTTTCACTTTAAACTATTTTTTTCTACTAATTAAAACATTCTTGAAGGTATGGAAGCCATCACATCTCCATTTAGGTGATTCTGTTATTTTAGATCCTACCACAAAACTCGAATTTCCTTGAACCGTCCAGCAATTGGCCTGGTCACTCTAATTGAGTTCTAGACGAAGTTTTGAGAAGTTGCATGGAATTCATGAAAAATAGCGGAATTTCCATAAAAATTCCTTCTATAGCTCATACATTTCTGGAGGTCTTCTATGATGAGAACGCTCTTCATGAAATTTACGCCATCTCCATTAGGTCCTAATTAGGATGAAGATATTGTTTAAAAACTCATTTCTAGGAATGTGCAATCTCGTTATACTTTTATGTCCAGAAAGTAGTGGTTACAATAGAAGAAAGTATTCGTTCCTCAATACTCGTTACGCGTAACTTTTTCTTTATCGATGATTGAAATAAAAAATAAACGTTAAATAACGAGAAGAACCGAACAGGATAAAGAGGTAGGGTTAAATGGGAATAATGAAATCATAATTTAAGATTTTATTCAATAAAATATTTTCAAAACACATTTTATATCAGTTGGAAAATCTTCTGTCACCTTCTTTGGAGCTTTTAGAGGATGAACTGGGAGTTTGCATTGAGGAACATTATCATTCGAACATTCTTTGGTTTCAGGCCGCTAAGATATAAATTTACCAAAAACACCGAATACTTTGTCATCTCGATACTCCGTTATCTACGGGTTTGACAAATAACCGATTAAAAATAATGACTAGTTACTCCCCGCACATCTCTACTCATTTCCAAAGGCCAGTTCATTTTAGTTCAAAATCGACATTTGATAAATATGTAGAAATTGAATGAAGAAAACAAATTTGGACATATATGGTTCCTTATATACCGCGTATTGTGCTCTGCAAAGATATTGCTGTGGAGTTGTTGAAAACATGATGAAAAAAAATGATGCTTAAGGTTTTACATCTCCAGTCCATCCTCGAAATTTCAGATTGTGGCGGATAACAAACATTTATGAGATATTTCGATAATAATTTTTGGAATTTCATATGAGCTTTTATGAAAATAGGAGGTTTTGCCCAATAAAAAAAAAATTTTAACTATTACTTTTAAATTTTATGAGTTGAAATAATATTGTGTGAAATTTGTTTGATTAATTAATGAAAATTAATGAATCAAACAAATCATTTGTTGAAATTTTGGTCAACATTGACAAACAAAAACTTGAGATATTACTGAATTATCATTTTAAAAAATCAACAATTTTAGTCATTGCTAAATTAATTCAAAAAACTACCCCGTTTCTTCAAACAAATTTCCTATATTTTTGTACCTTTCCAATTTCTCTTTCTGTGTTTTTAGATGATAAAATGACTACTGTAATTCGCACTACTTACGACATCAATGAAATCTTTGAGAATCTCCTTCTCGCTGAAGAAATAGCGGAACAGTCAGGATATGAGGAAGGTTACAATGCTGGGAAGAATCAGTCATTGAAAGGCTACCACTTGGGTTATCACAGAGGGTCCGAACTGGCTGCTAAACTTGGATATTACAGTGGTATTGCCGAACATTGTCTTAAATCCAGTATCCATCTTCCAAAAGTTATTGAACAAGCAAAAAAATTATTGGAAGCCATTCAGCAGTTCCCGACCTCCAACGATGAGACCGTGGACATCATAAAAAATTCTGAAGAAATTAAGTTTAAGTTCATCAAGTTATGTTCTCTGGCTAAAATTGATTCTACGTATTCAGAAGCCGACAAGCTTGATTTTTAATGACTCTAAGCTTTAAATAGGTTCATCTGTTATAGAGATGCAGTAGCTCTCGCGATGAAAACCTTTGAAGAAGATTTGAAAGACAATTTATCATTCATTGAAGAACATGAGAAGATAATTAACAGTCATTTGGTGGATTTCATTACGGGAAATTTATGGGAAAAGTTGCCCAAAGATTTACGGATCGAGTTGGAACAATTCCAAAACAAATCAAATTTTTCTGACTTAATGAACCGTTGTCCTACATTGCAATCAATAATAGAAGAAACAAACTCATTGAATTTAAAAAATAATCCTAAGGTTTTGAAGCTAGAAGATTTGCCATTAAATTTATCAAGAAATACTTTGAATTGGGAAAAGAATCATTCACTGAAAGAACCTCAGAATGACTTTATGAAGGATAAGAAACGATATGAGATCTCAGTTCTTTCAAACGTTATTGAATCCCTAGCAGCAGATAACAAATCTCTAGTTATTGATGCGGGCGGAGGAAAAGGATATTTAGGCACTTATTTATCCGGCAAATATTCAGTTCCGGTTCTATCCATTGATTCAAACCCAGGGAGAAATACGAGTGCAATCAATCGACAGAAATTGATGGAAAAAAAGAAAAATCAATCGTTTCCTCTTACACGACATTCCATCGAATTTATTGATGAAAATACAAATTTTTCGAAATTAGTGAAATTCCATTTTCCAAATTGGAGTGGAAATGACTATCTTCTTACGGGTCTTCATAGCTGTGGACCTTTGGCTCATGCTATGATCAAAAGTTTCATCAATTCTGACGCTCTGAAGAGTCTCTGCGTCATCTCGTGTTGTTATCACTTGACAGACGAATTTTTAACAACTAGAATCAACTTTACGAAAACTATGCGGATGTTAGCTCAACAATCTGTGGAGAGGATTTCAGCTAAAAATTGCGAACATCCAGCTTCCATTTTCTACAGAGCCCTTTTACAAGTTTTACTACAAACTCTTGGTAAGTGTAGTTTTCTAGCCAAGGAGTTGGGGATTAGTCTAATTTCTAAAATTATGTCTAATTATATATATTGAAATCCATGGAATTTTATACATTGATGGATTTTCATGACCCCTGACGGATCATTCGATAGAAAAGTTGAGTTGTTCACATAGTCGAGTGCTAATTGATCACCGGTCAATTAGCATGAAACTCTCAAATTAGCTGATGATTTATTATCACTCGAGTCAGCTAAATCTGACGTTATCATTGTCTATCAAGAGAGAATATAAGAATTATGCTGCTAACGATTTTAGTGCCAGTTTGATGGAACCCTCTGGTCCGTCAACTTCGTTTAGGTATCCTACCACACCCAAAGAAGTGACTGCATTTTTTGAAACTGTGATATGTGAAATTGTGAAGTAACTGGTTTGAAAAGAAACAAAACCAACTTATACACTATACCTAAACTAGTTCAAAATGCGATTTCTCGTAAGTTTCTCGATTACCAATAAATAAAACTTTGACAAATGTATTCGCGCTGTATAATCAGAGAAGCAATAATTTTTCACTCAAAAAAACATACTGAAGATGACTAATGGAAGATATAATAAGTCCGACCTTTACCATTTGCTAATACTCAATTAAATATTCATTAAATATTCATTCAATTAAATATTCATTTATTTAAGGGATAATTGCATGAATAATAGCTATTTTCGGTCATTTTCAATACTTGTCGCACTGAAAAAATTAATAACCGCCCAACTACGGCGAAACACAAACTCTAATTGGCGTCGAAATCCTTGTTATTTTATTGATAATGTTTGGTAGAAATTTCAGATTTAAAAAATTAGTTTTTTGAGTAATTAACGATTGAAAAGCACGTTTTCTCGTATAAACCCCGTCAAATTGAAGATACTGCTATGTATGATGGCTTATTTTGGAGGGGTTTTCATGCGCTTTGAGTGTTCCAAAGGGCGATGCGATAGCTTGAAACCTCGTTGAGATATTGGGACCAATTTGAAAAAAAAAATCATTCACAAAAACTTAATATTTTCAAAAAATCATAACTCGCTCAATTATTAGTATTTTTAATTTTTTTTCAAAACATTTATCTAATCACCGTCTTTTTAGAAAAAAAAAAAGAAATGAAAATGTGCACATTTCTCCACTTGCCTTTATGCTAAAAAGAATTTGTAAAGTTTAGAAAATTGGGGAAGCTTTCTTGACGATTGCTGAATTTCCGAAAAATTCTGTATACGTCTGGATTTCCTCACAATTTTCAAGAATTGACTATGATTTTAAGAAAATCGAATAACTAGGAACATTTTCCAGATCATTCTGTAGCAGTCTAGACCAGTCTCTGACTTTCTTGATTTTTCCGAGGAGTGGACATCTCAAATTATATGATATATGATAATTATAAAGCACATATAGCTCTGAAATTTCCTGGTACAGAGAAATATATCCTGCGACCTTCTTTGCAATCCATGAAATTTCGTGTATTAATTAAATATTCTCATTTCTGAAAACTTAATTAGAGACGAAAGAATTCCTATTCGAAATATAATATTTCAGGAATTCCAGATGAGAGAGTAGGAAGAGGAGCTCCAACAGAGGATTTTCAGACTTATGCAAAATGGGCATTGGCAAAAGTGAGATTCCCTCCACATGAAGTTAGTACAAATTTTTCTCTTTTATATACCCGCTCGGGTTTTTAAGATTTTATAAAGCTTGTAAACTTTGGTACTTAAGCTTCGAACATGAGATTTTAAAAACTAGCTTTGATTTTCATTATTCTGATCATTTTCCATAATTTTTCTTATCCTTCTTCTTCTGTATTTGAAGCCGGTAGTTAAAATCAAACTCTGTGGCGAAACAAAAGTGCGTTTGTGACGTTGCGTTCCGATAAACGTAAAGAGAAATGAAACAAAATTATGAAAACAAATGTCGAGTAACGTTACCACCACGAACCTAATTTGAAGTGAAAATTGAGTAACGTTACACGTAGGAACAAAAGTTGTAATATTATTCGATAACGTTCCTCGTCAAGAACGAAATTTAGAAAAAAAAGTCATAAGAAAAAGAGGACTTAGGGTGGAACAGGCCAGGGCTTGCCTTAGCAACTTACTCCAAACACTATACCCCCTTCCTCTAGGCGTGAAGAGGTCCCCGAGATTTCATAATTGTAATTTATATTTTCGATCAATATTTCCAATTTGTTGGATTTTTGGTAATTCCCAATTCAATTATAAATTCGTCAATTAGAACCCCACATCGTACATGGCCGTTGGGAATTATGATCCTCGCAACGTGAAATTTTAAATTAAGGTTTCTTTTTTTGGATGAAGAGGAAACCGCAGTGAAACTCGGAAATTCAGAACTTGTCGAACACTATACAGATCATTGTTGCAGTTCATAATTCTATAAATAGTCAAGTCCCTCAATTGGTAACCGATTGGGATAAAAATTGAATTTTACATAGTTAGAAATGCATAAAAACGATTTGTCAAAAATATTGAATTTTTAAGGTATAAATAGATCCAAAGAGGGATTTTGAAAAATGTTGATTCGTTACATGAAGTTGAAAAAAATTTGAAAAAATTTGTACTTTATTGAAATATTATGTACTGGAATTTTGGCCATATTTCAGGAAATTAGAGGATACTAGTTTCAAAATAGAAAACAATGCGTACAAAAAATTAATATTTTTGAGAATCAATTTTTGTCTTTTTGTACATATTTCAATTATGTGTAAATCAATTTTTAGCCAAACTGAAGCACTTAGGGGGCATTCACTGTCAAACCAGACAGTCAATTTTCATGATCTCTTCGGAATGTCTCACCAATTTTTCAGGGTGTTTTGTGACTCCAAAAAAGTATTCCAGATTTTTTTCAGAATTTTGGTGCCGCTTATTCTCTTTCTGAAATCAGATTTTCTTGCCAAATGAAAATACGTTATTTCTCAGGTTCTATGCGTTCAAAAATAATGATTTTTTAAAAAAGTGTATTTTTTCCGAGCTTTAAGGAGAGACTACTATGAGTTTTAAAAGTCGTGGGTTATTGGAGTGAGACTTTTCATACATTGAAGATCGATTATTTAGATCTGAAAACGAATAATTGTTTTCTGTTTCTGTTTTCTGTTTTCTGTTATTTGTTTCTGTATGTGACGCATCTTTTGAGTTATTTGTCATGTAGATCCAATCCTAATAGTTAATGAGATGATTACGGTTTAATGATCAACTGTATGCGAATTTAATCTAAAAAGTTGAATAGCTCAAAAACTACTGAAAATTATAAAAGAAGTCAAATAACTGATCTGATGTATTTTTTTGTAACGAGCATCGGTTACCTTGACCCTTTCTCTTCTCTCAACCATTTCTCTACAAACTTGAAAGTGCCAGTCTGCCGCTCGTCGGATATGCATCCACAATATCTCTGCAATTTTTCGATAAGGTACATTTTTTTATGAACACTTTTCCTTATATCTCCCACCGTTTCTGCGATCTTGCGTTTTAAGCAATGAAATTATACAAAAATAATCCATGATTTCGTAAAAACGGTTATCATATTCAGCGACCTTGAAAACATAAGATACAATGATGAAATCTTCGGGACATCTCAATGGACACAGAAAGACCCAAGGGTATTTCACGGACTAATTTGGATAATCTGTTCTATGTCGTTTTACCTATTAATATCTAAATTTTCAAAGGTTCCAATTTTTCCAATATTTTCATAATATTTTTATGAAAATGCTTTGGATATTGAAATGCTTTCAGAAATGAAACCAAGAGTCAATTCGTTGCTTCTTTTGATGTTTGATAACGCTGCATATTTTGATTAATCAGTACTCTCATTTTTCTTGACTGTCTTCGTTCCAAATTTCGCTCCTAATGAGGAACGTTATCGAGAAAAGATACGAGTTTTGTTCCTGGTGATAACGTTACTAGAATTTCGCTCCGTTTTTTATTCCTGGTCGTAATGTTACTGTTGAATTTCGTTTCTCCACACTGAAATGAAACCAAAACTAACGCATTCCAAGTCCCTAGTTTAAAGTAACTTTGACGTTGATATGAGTTCATAAATTAGTGAAATATTTAATTTCAGAGGCCCTTAAACAATGACTTGACTAATCTCCAAAAAAAATATTCGGACTATCAATGGAAACTGAACGTTTTCCAAACCCTCAGAGCACATATGGGCGCCGTGATCGAGTCTTCCATCATTCTCGACCGCTTTGTCTACCTCCAGAAATCCAAAAAGTGCTCCAAATTGTCGATAGTACGTCTGTTCGATCCGTTGTTATCGCCCCGATGTTACGCAATAATTGCATCGAAGTAGAGAAAAAAACACGTGGGACAATGAATTGAAATATGTACAGAAATTACATTATTTTTGAATGAAAAAAAAATTGGCATAATTAATATTTTATTATTTCCTTCCCAATTTAATTAATCGATTAAATGAACTATCACAGGATATCAACAGCATTAATAGCAATTACTCAATAGATAACTTATAAACTAAAATAATTGATTGACTGGCAAATGAATTCTTCATATTTGTTATCGAAAATTAAGAGTGCGCTTTCCTAAGCTATCGCAATAATTTGTCATAATAACAGAACGTCATGAATGAATTACATGTCATAAATAACGTTCGATAGTATACAAGGTAAATAACTCACACTGAAGAAAAGGAGAACGATTCCCTCTTCGAAACCAGAAATATTCAAAAATAACAATATAAGATATGATTTCAACTCGGAACCTTATTAGTTACAGTTATCGATGAGATATTGGATGTTGAGTAGTTGATAGGGAGGGAGAGCCTCCAACAAAACTTCGAGTGAACCCCAGTTTTCACGTCAGTTCCCGTTTCAACACGAACGTATTATATATAGCTCAAGGTCAACCAGTGATTCCTGTCAAGTGGTCTTGGTAATTTGAAGCAAAATAGATAATAAAGTGTAACTGAAGGTACGAATCCAATTGAACCACTTCCATTTGATTTGATTCGATTTTAGTTATTACGAGTGAATATTTGTAGTACAGAGTGAGAAGTAGTTTGAGAACTTTCCATTGACAATAAAATAAAATCAACTACAACTTTCACTGGAACTAGTCGAATAACAGAATTATGATCCCCAGTAGCTTTTCAGGACTTTTAAAATTAATTCAACATAATTCTTCTGAAATAATGGATGTTACCATACTTGTTTCGCAGGTAAAAAATGGAACCTCTTTCGAAATTATTCCTTCGCTCTTGCAGACTCCGAAAGAATTATCAGAATTATCAGTGGAGAAGTATCACTTCTCAACAAGTCTTTGACCGTGAAGATAAATATGGTGCACATAATTATCATCCACTGGCCGTTGCAATTAATCGTGCAGAGGGTGTACATATGTGGGATGTTGAGGGAAAACGCTATTACGATTTCTTGAGTGCGTATTCGGCGGTTAACCAGGGACATTGTCATCCAAGGATTTATAAAGCCATGGTTGAACAGGCTAAGATTCTTACTTTGACTTCTAGGGCATTTTATTCGGATGTGCTCGGAGAGTTTGAGGAACATGTAACCAAATTATTTGGGTAATTATCTCAAAAAAAGATCAGTATAAGAATACAATTAAAAACTAAGGCAGTGAAATTTGCAATGATTTTAAATGATCTGATTCTTGTTCTTCTTCGGCTCATTAAAAATCTCAATTAGGAATGCATTCCGCTAAGTAATGAATGGTTTTAGAATAGAGTATCAAGAAATTTTCAACATTTTCTTTAGAAATTATTCATTTCGTAGATAATTTTGTAAATACGCAATTTTGTAACTACTTTTTCCGCCTTCTTTACTAGCATTTCATGTAGGAGAAATAATGAGAAAAATTTTCGTTCTTATAAGATATCAAAAATGGTTGCCAATGAACACCGGTGTGGAGGGTGGAGAAACAGCCTGCAAATTAGCAAGAAAATGGGGCTACAATGTGAAGAATATTCCTGAGAATTCTGCAAAAATTATTTTCGCGGAGGGAAATTTCTGGGGAAGGACACTGAGCGCAGTTTCATCGAGTACTGATCCGTCCAGTTATGCTGGATTTGGACCATTCATGCCCGGATTTGAATTGGTGCCTTATGACGACTTGGCATCTCTTGAGAAGAAACTTCAAGACCCAAATGTTTGCGCCTTCATGGTAGAACCGATTCAGGGTGAAGCTGGGGTAGTGGTTCCAAAGGTAAAAAAAAAATGTATATATATATATTTTTTTCATGTTTTTAAATTTGTAAAGATTCGCCGATATTGAAGTACATTCCAACAATATAATGCAATTTCCTGCGATTTGATATTTTACCTGCCGATCAGGTAATCGGTCAATTCCGCGATAAAATTTATCTTTGCCCGTCTCTGTTACACTTCAGTTTCCTGATAAGTTATCAATTATCTGCAACCGGTTCAAGCAGAACTGCTCATCGGGAATACAAATTGCAGGAAAACGAAGCCTTCAAAAAAACTAGTAATAAAGAGAACAAAGTTTCCAGCTTCCGGGAAAAATCTCTGGATTTCAATACTTTGTCATACAGAAATCGGTTGAGCAAAAATTAGAGAAAAATCTTCTAATTCTCAGTATTTTTTTCCTAAATCTAGTGTAATTGTATTTGAATTAATGCAAATTTTCTTCTATTTTTATTATTTTTAACGTCCTGCAACTTGCAAACTTGCAACTGACCATCGCTCGAGGGCCTTCAGCCAGATGTTCTTTATTTTGAGAAAATCTTAGTTCTGAAATTCAGAATTTTTTGGGTTCTTCAAATGAAACCTTGGGTTTCTTTAATTGAACACACTCAGGTTCCCAAATAAAAATATTTTCATTTTTGGACTGATGATTTGATCTAGTCTAAAACTAATTCACCCATGTTTGTAATCCTTTGTTATTTACAGTATATCACCTGACACCTTGACTCCCTCACACGATTCTTGATTTAATAATTGTTCTTCTTTGAAAGAAGTAAGTTTTTGGCACTGAATTTTAGGGATTTTTCTTTGATCGCTTCATTTCTTCAATTTTCGGCGATGCATATCTTAAAAATGCAAGGGTTCATGTCCTGAACATTTTAATCATCGTTTTTGAATGGAGTTGATGTTCTAGCACCCTGAAAAATTTCTTATAAGTACAGAATACTCAGAAGACCCTTTAAGTAACCAGTTTCTTATTTTCAGTAAAATGGTTTCTCGAACCGTGAGTTTTTTGGAATCAGTAAATTGATCCTATCCGAACGAGAGAAGTTTCCTGTATTTATCCTTGTCCCTTCTCAATAAAGTTTGGGTCAAAATCGTACTAACGAATATGATCTTGGCCATCTTGAGTTGCAAAATAAAATAATCCATTTTCTTGCAATCTTAGGATGGTTACTTGAAAGCAGTGCGGGAACTTTGCACAAAACACAACGTCCTTTGGATAGCAGACGAAGTCCAAACGGGTCTGGCTAGAACAGGAAAACGTTTGGCTGTCGATTACGAGGACGTGAAGCCAGACATCCTGATTCTCGGGAAAGCTCTGTCTGGAGGTTTCTACCCAGTCTCGGGTGTTCTTGCAAACGATCCAGTCATGCTCTGCATCAAGCCTGGAGAGCATGGTTCCACGTACGGAGGCAATCCATTGGGCTGCCGTATAGCCTTGGAAGCCCTCAAAGTCCTGGAGGAGGAGAAATTAGCAGAGAATGCTTACAAACTCGGACAGCTCCTCAGGAACGAACTCAATAAATTACCGAAAGACGTCGTAACTCTCGTCAGAGGAAAAGGCCTCCTCAATGCAATTGTCATTAATGAAAAAATCGATGCCATGGAAATTTGCGTAAAATTAAGAGATCATGGACTTCTTGCCAAACCCACACACGGCCACATCATTCGTTTGGCGCCACCACTTGTTATTACCGAATCACAGATACTCGAAGCCACTGAAATTATTTCAAAAGTCATACTTAGCCATCAATGATCACGTTGATAATCGAAGCTTCTTCAATAAACTGTTCATTCATATTCGCTGAATGTAGTGTGAAGGAGCTTGATAGAATTATTGCAATGCGATATTTATATTCTTTCGGAAATTCGATAGTTTTTGTTGCCAATTTCTCTTGGTTATACAATTTATTCTATTGACATTTCCTTCACAGAAATTCTTTGGTTTTTTTTCTACCACGAATTGACCTTCATCTCTACCTTTGCCCCGGACTATGAGAGTAACTGGTGACTTCAACCTTGTTTCAAAGGAAAAGTTTGAGGAAGCCCCAGAAGCACCAACTTGTCAAAATTCATTATCTTTTTGAAATTTTTGGCAAATTATAAATTTGGTATATGTACCGCGGACAGCTATAAAATAATGTAGAGACGGAGGGTGAAAAAATAAAATAATTAACCAAAGAAATTCATGCAATTCAGTAGCGAAGCGGTAAACCGGTCGATTTGGACTATTGGCCAGTTTTGACGAATATCTTGAAATTTAAAAGACATAGAAAAATTATGGTCATTACCTTTTTTGTAAAGCCAATTGAGGGTTATAAAAAAGCTTATGAGAAAAATTTTGCTATCTCTCCGGTTTTGAGATATTCATGAAAAACTGGTCAAAAGTCAAAATCGACTTAACCCAGTTTACCGCTTTCCTACTGAATTATTAAAAAGATGATTTTAATTATTGTTTTATATACCTTTAATGTGGTTGGTTTATTTTCATATATATATATATATATATATATATATATATATATATATATAT